CCCCTCCTATCAAGCAAAGAAACCAAAGACTCCCAAAAAAAAAGGAGGAATAACACTGGACCATAGGTGTTTAAATTGAGATTTATTAGCATTTTTAAATTTATTATAAGTGTGACACCCTTACTACCCCAACACATATATTGCAATAATAAAACTAACAAATAAATTTTCATCGACGGTAAAGGGGTTCACATGAAAACCTTCTCAAATGTTCTTCAATATCCAAAATGATTGAAGATAAAACTTGGAAAGTAAAACTTAAGAGTTTACAAATTATTTCCAAAATAATAGATACAACTCCAAATCTATATACAAAATTCATGTCCTAGAAATCCTCTGTTCCGATGTCACAATATTAGAGCTTACCCATAATTCAACTGTTGGCATTCTAGATGCCACTCATAGCCGGATCTTCCTCACCTAAAACATCCATAAACTTTACGTTGAGAAAAGAAAACATCTATATATAAAGCACATAAGAAAAACACAACATAATCCCATCTTTACTCATTACTTAATAAAATATTCATAAGCATTTGTATATATCATAATTTATCAATCATGCATCATCTTCACGTCATAACTCGCAATCACACCAATTCATCACAAATCTTGTGATTAATATTATCATTTTTACACCATAATTCACACAAATCTTACAATTAACATTATGTCAAGGCCACGCCACAACTGACATAAGTGATACGGGTTAATTGCCTCACTCATCCCACACCATGTCAGGGTCACACCCTTTCTGTAGCATCACTTACCTAGGGGTCGTGCCATCCCTGGTCATTGATGTGAGGAACCACAATCACATCACAATCCACACAAATCTTGCAATTAACCCTATGCCAGGGCTTCCATATTTGACATAAGTGATACGTGTTAATTGTCTTACTCATCCCACACCATGTCAGGGTCACGCCCTCCCTGTAGCATCACTTACCTAGGGGTCGTGCCATCCCTAGTAATTGATGAGGAACCACAATCACAATCATATTCACATCCATACAACATCTCATCTCATAGTCAATTCCATATCACATACACAATTTCATATCACATACACAACAGATAAGTCCAACAAAATAAAGGTTTACACCCCCCTCAGTCAATTCACATCTAGATCATCAATTCTTATCAAGTAATACAAAAATAACATTCATAAAATAATATAATAATCAATGGAATTACCAATTTAATATAATCTTAACATAAACGGTAAAACCCCCAATTATTCCAAAACCTAACTCACAGATACTTTTTTACAATTTCGTTCTCTTTCCCAAATCATCATTCTTACAAATTAAATATATATTCATAATCCTAAATACATACAGAATCACATAAGACCAATAATTCTCCAAACAGAAATAATTATAAAATTACTCATAATCCTACGAGCTTCCTCTTCTACCCAATTCCCTCATGTAACTTTGCATACAAATAATCCTCTTTTCTCCCGTACTTGGATAAACAGTAGCTGAAACTAAAATAGAGATCTCCTTGGTCTCCTCTTGTGAGTGCCCTTCAATCTTTAGAGAGTGTAGAAGGAAAAGAAGAGAATGTAGAATAAAGGAGTCAGAACTGAAAGAAGTCAAAACTGAAAGGTGTGCTTTTTGGGAGTGTCAGAGCTCTCTATTTATAGGCATCAAAGCGTCGCCGGAACGACCCGTTTCAAATCTGGAACGGCCCGTTCTGGACTCTGACAGCATGTTTAAAATTCACATCCAGAACGGCCTGTTCTCAAACTAGAACAGCCCGTTCTAGGGTTACATTTAACCCATAACGTCCATATTTGAAACGACCCGTTCTTAAACCAGAACGACCCGTTCCCAACTAGGGTTACAAGCCTTTTTTGTAGTTTGAAACGCCTCATTCCAATTAAGATTTGTAGGCAACTTTAGTATTTTGGAACGACCCGTTCCAATTTGAGAACGATCCATTCTGAGATACTAAATCACCCTCGTTTCAGTAGTTTGGAACGGCTCGTTCTGGGCTACTAAATCACCCCTATTGGCCTTTGGGCCCTCAAACAATCTGTGAAAATTGGGCTGTTACAATAAACATATTTATTATCGTTACAGTTTTATATTTTATGCATAGGCATCATCTTCTATGAATTTTAATGGCAATTTGTCATCTCCAATTTTAATCTCAATTTGTCTACAAGATCCAATTTTTTTATATTTCTCACAAAATATTTCTAATTATGGTATCAGGAGCTTGCATCCTGCAGTTTGTGAGAAAAAAATTTATTGAGCGCTAAATACTAATAGAATGAGGTTTAGTGCTAAATTGAGTGATTTTTTGTTTAAGCAATTATGGTGTAAGAATGTCTATTTTCACCGATTCACTTACAATTCTAATTACGAAAAAGAATTGAAATAAATTTTCTCATAAGTTAAAATTAATTTATGTATGAGTTAAAAATAAAGATTTTGAAAAAAACAAATAAGAGAAAAGTTTTACAAATTAATTTATATATTAAGTTAATTTCAATTTATAAAAAAAAATTTATTTTTTATTTTTACCTCATGAAAATGTCTCCGAGAAATTTACCCAAACATGTTCTAGGTGTGTCCGTAGAAGTGAGATAAGGTGTGTGATGAGGTCATGGCAGTGGTATTGATGGGTTCGGATGGTTTACGGATATGTTTAGAGGAGGTTTTCATGCTTACTTTGAGTGTGACGGAACTAGAAGAGCAAAGACATGAGGCTTTTTTTTTTTTTTTTTTTTTAAATTAGATTGTGTAATTTTTATCTTTCGATCATTTTAATTTTCTCCTTTCAACAACCTTAAAAGTCGTCCCACTTTTTAACCATTTTTATTTGCTTCTAAACCAAACTAAACATTAGTTTCCATCAATGGGGACAGTTGAAGAGAAAGTAAATGAAACGTCCCTCTTTCTTGTAACGATTTTCAAATATTTTGACGACTCATGCATTCCAGAGAATGTTGGGTACCAAAGGGAAAAAAAAAACTTCAATAGCGGAAGCACACACAAGAGAAACAAAAATAGAGAAACAAACTCAGAAATTAACGTGGTTTGGCACTTCATACCTACATCTACAAACACACTCAAAAGTTATTTTATTTCTCCACTTGCAATTTTTACAAGGATAAAATTGTAAACCCTCTCACACAATTTTTGCACGGAAAAATTGCAAACCCTCTCTTGACACACAACTACCCAAGTCCCCAATACACCCAAAGATTAATGTTGTTGTGGTGAGTAGACTCAAACTATCACCCCTTGTTTATAGTAGTAGTCTACCACTTCCCTTCTTCAAAACTACCCGATGTGGGACTTTGGAGGATACTCACACACTTTGGGCACAACATATCCTCCCTTCATCCAAAGTCTCACATTAATCTATCATCATTCACAAGTTTTCTGACGAAACTTGGAAACCTTCTTTCTTCACAAGTTTTATGGGTGAAACTTGGAAACCCCTTCCTCACAAGTTTTATGGCGAAAGTTGAAAGTCATCTTTCTCACAAGTTTTATGGGTGAAACTTGTAAGCCTCTTCCTCACAAGTTTTATGGTGAAACTTGGAATTCACAAGTTTTTTTGGCGAAACTTGAAAACCATCTTCTCACAAGGGCAGGACATCTTTTCCTCCCAAGTACACTGCTTCTCTTCCTCCCTTGGTCAAAACCTCAATTCTTTTCTGATGTGGAAGATCAGACAATGCTGCAACCACGAAGCATACTAAGAATTAAGAATCCCACAGAGCCCCACCGCACTAACCATGGCTCTGATACCACTTGTTGGGTACCAGAGGGAAAATAAAACTTCAATAACGAAAGCACACACAACAAGAGAAACAAAAATAGAGAAACAAACTCAGAAATTAACGTGGTTCGGCACTTCTTGCCTATATCCACAAACATACTCAACAAATTATTTTATTTCTCCACTTGCAATTTTTACAAGGATAAAATTGCAAACCCTCTCACACAATTTTTGCACAAAAAAATTGCAAACCCTCTCACACAATTTTTGCACGGAAAAATTACAAACCCTCTCTTGACACACAACTACCCAAGTCCCCAATACACCCAAAGACTAGTGTTGTTGTGGTGAGTAGACCCAAATTATCACCCCTTATTTATAGTAGTAGTCTACCACTTCCCTTCTTCAAAACTATCCGATGTGGGACTTTAGAAAATACCCACACACTTTGGGCACAATAGAGAATTCCATGGATATTGCTTTTATTTCTTTTATTCTCATTATATATATATATATATATGTATATATTTATATATATATATATATATATATATTATTCTTTTGAGCCATGTCACGTGTTGTGTATCAAGGGAGAGTGAGAGTGAGAGACAACATGAAAATTATTATGCAGAAAATTGAACCTCAATTTGTGCTTTACTATGGCACTGGGTATTTGTAACTCTTTTTTTTCTTTTTCTTTTTTTACTGTTTTCAACGTTAAGTCATTAGTTTAGATTAATAATATTAAATTAAAATAAATTATTAAATGGATTTTCTTTCTTTTTGTTGTTGTTTATCTATTTTGTTTTTTCATTTTTTCCCCATCATTACTATTTTTTTTTCTCTATTAAAAGGATATCATCAATGTTTAGGCAAACAAATTTAAATTACATGGATAGATTTTACAGATGGATGACATGTATATATTGCAACGACAAAAAGTTTGTTTGTGGCTTTTATCAGATTATAGGATGTTGGCTTGTCTATCGTTATACCCCTTGTAATTGTTTCCTGTGAGTGAATCTAAGGTTTCAGGTGGGTGAAACTAATGCCTAGTTGTATACACATTTCTTCACGTACTTGGATCCTCTGGTGTCATGGTCTCTCTGCAGCAGATATATTAACATTTTGATTCATATATATATATGATGGTAATAAAAACTAAAAATATTAAAAATAAAGAAGAAGAGCTGAACTAGTTATTTAAAGTGCTTGAGCATTACTACATTGTAACAAAACAGAATTACTTGAGACATTATAAAGTGTATGGCTCATCATACTATAATTAACAATTATTATTGTCTAGATAGTATGCTTATCTAATACATTTGTTTGGATACATGAAACAATGTTAAGCGGGATCTCAGAACAGCACTTTCACTAGTTATGTATAATCAAATCACTAGTTATCTAATACATTAGAAGGTTAAGCCTTAACATTTTCTTGCATCCCTTTTTTATCTTGCACCTAACGATGTGATGGACAGTTCATTAACTGAGCATAATTTGTGATTTTCCGATGGAGAATTTGCTTCAGATGTAACATCTATCTCGGTGTAAAAACCATGAACCTTTGGCTTTGGTAGTAACTTATCACCATTCAACATTAAAACAACAGATGACATGTTTGGCCTATCTTCTGGTCTTTGTTGCACGCATAGTAGGCCAACCTGTATTCATCGTATGACTTCTGAGGATACACATTGTTTTCCTAACACTTCATCCAGTAGTTCCATCGTCTTCTCTTCAGTCCATAATCTCCATGACTGAGATGGTGAGAATTAAATTAGTAGGTTGGAATTGGAAATGATTAAATTTATACTAAGTGGCATCATTGTTAGATCAGTATGCTTACATGGCCAAGAAGATTATTGTTGTTTTCTGGGTCTGAAAATTCTCTGTTTTTCTTCCCACTCGCAATCTCTAGTACTATCACACCATAGCTAAAGACATCTGATTTCATTGAGAAATGTCCACGTGTAGCATACTCCGGAGGTATGTAACCGCTGAAAATAATTTTTTCATTGTTAAATAAATAGAACTTGACAACACAATGTTAAAGAATCAAAATCACATAGAAACTAACTATGTTCCAGCCACCCTATTTGTGTTTGCCTCAACTTGATCTCCTAAAAATAATCGAGCCAAGCCAAAATCTGATATTCTGGGATCCAAATTTGCATCTAATAAAATGTTACTAGTTTTAAGATCTCTGTGAACAATCCTCAGTCTAGAGTCTTGATGAAGATATAAAAGTCCTCGAGCTATGCCACTAATAATGTCGAAACGCGTATGCCAATCTAGCAAATACCTTTTGGTCTCATCTAGAAAAAAAGAGACATGCATTTAGCATTGCAGTTGCAGCCTCTATCAAATCATAAGCCACATATAGGAACTTAAATACATAGATGTTTAGAATAAATCATAAGGGTCCAACCAAAAACAAACTTGTCCAAGCTTTTGTTCGGCATGTATTCATAAACTAATATTTTTTCTTCCCCTTCGATGCAACAACCTAAAAGCTTTACAAGATTATGGAGCTGAAGTTTTGCAATCAATGCTACTTCATTTTTTAACTCTTCTAACCCTTGTCCTGATTTCTTTGAAAGCCTTTTCACCGCTAACTCTTGTCCATCTATCAGTGTGCCCTGGAAAAAATCATCTGCTAAAGTAAGAAAGTTTTTAAGTAAAACAGGGGTTCTGTAGGTCAGATTTCTTTATCACCTTATAAACTGGTCCAAAGCCACCTTCTCCAAGTTTGTTTCTGATTGAAAAGTTTTCAGTAGCATTAGCTAAGACTGACAAATTGAAAGTTGGCAACTCAACATCTTCCTTTTTCTGTTTAATTTTGTAATGCTTGCTGATAAGTTTTCTTGTTGCCCCTGATTGGTTGGAAAATAACAATATTTAAACACTAACATATAATACTAATATGCATAGATTTTGTTTTCTTCTTTTCTTGTTCCTAATAGCTGTATTCGATAGTAAATTAAATCTATGTACGTACCTGGATTTTTTATCATGAATATGCATGCACTTATGACTAATCCGAAAATAATAACCCCAACCGTGATTTCTACTATCTTTTTCTTCATGTTTCCATGGCTAGCATGATCAGTCACCAACTTTAAGAACAACAGCTATGGATTAAAGATGAGAAAGTCACTATAATATATTTAGAAAGACTGAGGTACAAAAAAAAATATTTAATTTAGAAAAGTAATTGCCATCTGATATACAGCATTGTTGAGAATCTGAATCAGCAATATTAAAATTTCTACGGTTATGAATTTTAATTATAGGAATTATAGGTGCTGTTATGAGTATTTACATTTGTCATTTAATTTTATATTTATGAGCAAAATATATATCAGCTTTCAATTGTGTTTTATGTATTTAAAAAGTTGCAAGTATGAATAAAAATATGAGTTTCAGCTTTCTAATTTTTCTGAATTCCAACAAGCATGCATTACTAATAACTTTCTTTTCAGTGAGCAAAATATTACAACCCGTAGATCTTCCTTTTGATATTTGTCTTGAGCATGAGATTTCAAGCCATAATAATAGGAAACAAATCAATCAAAGGCAAAAGACAAAATGAAAATAAACACGTACCTAATTCTGAAGCTGGGACTCTGATATACAAGTCTTGTCCCCGTTGGGAGAATTTCCTCATGTCAACTAGATTATTAAACCAAAGCAGACACCCACTTCCTCCATCTCGAATATCTAAACTTGCATATGCTGTACAAGAACAGTTTTTAATACACGAATTCTTACATTCTTCAAGGTTCATGGTTGTATTGTACGTTGATGAAGACGTGTCTGGTATTTTCATGTTGGTGTACGTCAAGAAGCCATCTGTGTAACTGTTTTTGCAATTTGATTTATTCCTTGGAAGACATCCATTGGACCAAAGTGATATATTCCACTGATCAGGAGACTTGGGAGCATACCCTCTAATGCATTCACAATTTGGAATGTTACCTTCATAGTTGCATATAGCATTTGCGCCACAAAAGGCATATTGATCGCATGGATCTTTGTCCCCAGTTGAGACGAGTTGCCGATTACTACTTTGAGTTGTCCAAAACCAAGTCTGCGCTTTGCCCGAAGGAGTCAGTGTATGTACACAGAAGACCGATCTATCACGAAGCCAGTACTCATAATACACCTCTTTTTCATTCAACACAAACTTTTGCGATATTTCATGAATTGGACCCGTTTTTCCAACATTAGACAATCCATTCCATGACCCTGCTCTCGTTATTATATGAGGTCCCTGGAATTCAATTGTTTGAGGGTACCCTCTGAGATAAATTTTTTGGGTATATTCCCCCTCAACAGGATCATCAACACTTTTCCAACATGATAGATATCTTGCTAGATCAGTCTCCAAGTTCCATCCAAGTTTCATCATTGGCAACAATGCATCACCCGGATAATCAAAACTCTGCCACAAGATGTTGTCATCGTTATTTCCCTGTCCATTTCTCACTACAAAATTTCCCGAATCCAATGGATGAGCAGTTGGATTATTTACTGCTTTGCTAGATATGTTGGATTTCCAAATGGTGCTGTTTGTAGCATTGAGAAGCACAAGAATCCCTTTTTCATTGAGTTTGAGAACTCCTGAGTTATTCTCAAGAGGTGTGTTTCGGTTAGCCACCCACACCACAGTGAAAGGGGATACATTTGTGTACCATATACCCAAATATCTTCTTGTTGAATTTCCTGGACTGAAGAAACCAACTTCAATAATTCCACTTGCTGAAACCAAAGTATCACCATCTCGGATAGATTGACCCATTGCTAAACTGTCTAGTGAAGTTGAAGTTGTAACCATGTAGGAGAATAATAAGAACCAAATGAATAACATTTTGATATGCTATGGAAGCAATGACTTCTTTTGCAACCACGATATGGCCTCTACCACTAGTAGAAGTAGAAGGTTGAGGAAGACGAGTTTTTGTGTGAATAAAAGCGTTTTATATTACACGGAGGAAGAAGATAGCCATAAAATAAGTGAAGTGATTTTGGAAGTGTGGGCGAAAGGAAGTTGCAAAAATCAATGTTACAGTGTTAGATGGTTCGTAGAGTAATTCCAAGACAACACAACGCTCATGGTTGTCAAACTAAGAAGACTTGTGAGTCAGTGACGGGCCACAGACATCGAAATGTGTTGAAAAACTTGTGTTACTGATTGTTTTCACTTTGAAAAGAATATAGCGTGATGTCGAAAAATACCAAGGCAAATTTCCTTGCAAGATCTGACATTAATTTTAAAAAATTAAAATACAAATAAAAAAAATTAAATAAATTTTTAGTTTTGAAAAGTAGAGAATATTTTATTTTATTCCTTTCAAAATATAATTCAATTTCAACTTCTTTTCTTTTTTTTGTCTCATATTCATCTTTGATCTTAGACGAACCCTTAAATCTAATAGAGAAAAGCTAAAGATTTACGGGGACCAAAATAGAAAAGCTAGAAAATTATAAGAACCAAAACTTAAAAGGACCAAAATAAAAACAACAAAAATTTGGAAAGATCAAACTGGAAAAAAAATTTGAAAGGATCAAAATGTATATAACTAAAATTCAAAAGAATTTTAAAACAAAAGCAACTTTATTTTTTTAGAGACTAAATATTTATGGAGTAAATTATACTAATACTTCCTAAGTTTCGTGAAATTGCACTAATATTTCCTACTTTTTCTTCTACAATAATCTCTTTTAATTATTTGAAAAATATTATACTAGCATTTCTTATACATTACTTTAACATTTTTATTTATTTGAAAAACATTGACTTCATATAAGGGAGGTTACTGTAAATCTTAAAAAAATTAAGGGGTTTTAGTACAATTTGGTAGAAATTTAGGGAATGTCAATATAATTTACTGTTATTTACTTGAAACCAATTTTAAAATTTAAACCTATAAATACAACAAATGCACTAATAGATAGCAAAACAAAATCTATAAACAATATATTAATTATTAGCCAAAAAATTATAGAACTAAAGACACAACTTCATAAAAGTCATATAATAACATAATCATCCTTACAAATGCACATAGTTTAAATAAACATAAAATAAGGTAGAGATACAAAATGAATCATAGCACATGAGTGTGAAATGATAAAGAAATTAGAAGAAGAATCAACACAATTATATTAACATCCTTTTTACATCATACTAATATGTCTCATAAATTATATTAAGAATTTTATTTTATTATTTCATGCTCATATGATACTACTCATTTTGACACCTCTATTATATTTTATGTTTTGTTTTCATTGTTTTTTTACTTAATGTTTTGTTTTTACTACTTCCTATTAAACTTTTGGCAAGTATACCAAATATTCTAAGTTATAAAATGGACAAAAGTCCAAGTATTGAATCCACATGAACTTGTGTAAAACTAATTAATTTAATTTAATTAGAGAGTTTGTGAAATTTAGGTTTAAAAGAATGCATGAAAATAAAGGGTGTATCTTAAGGTTTTATATAAGAAAGCAGGTCAAAAATGATTGATAGATTTATAATAAAAGAAGTTAGGAATTGATTTCATTCACCTTTTTTTTCCTTGCACGTATTTGTTAGACTTTTTGCAAGCATAACTATTATTGTAATTAGTAAAATGGGAAAAAGTCCAAGTATTGAATCTAAGGGACTTGTGGTATGATTAATTAATCGAATTTAATGATAATAAGGTAAAATAAAAAGAAAGATTTGCTTGAAGAGCGCAATAAAGATAAATAACATATATTTAGGTATTTAGAATAATAAAAAGATTGAAAGGATAATTGAAACTTTGTAATAAAAAGTGTCTGAGATTGATTTCATTAACCTTTCGTAGACATATCCTTCCCAATTATTATTCAATTTCTGTAATTATCAAGTTAAATCAACAAACAATGATAACATTTTAACTCTAATTCCTCTGGTGAGAAATTCTAATTTCCTTAAGAAATATCTCAATTCCTTGGTGAATTTTGTTAAGCAACCCACATTAAAATTGAAGGTCTAATAATGTTGACTAGTAAGACTTATCCTATTCCTAATAATGTGTGTTATTAATGTTATTCTCCAGATTGTGATTTGAAAAAGGCTTCTCAACCTTGATTATATGTACATGTATAAGATATTGCAATGAGTGATCAAGACAAAATAAAGATTAAGAATAGAAGAAAAACATTCAATTGAATTAAAAGATTTATTGAATAAGAATGGGCAGAATTATAGAGGGTTGAGTTAGTTACATCAATCTTAAACAATAACTTCTCATTCTCTCAAATCTTTCTAAAATATACAATATGTGGAGTGTCTCACTATTATCTCCAAAACCCTATCTATTGTTTATAATATAAAAGTTGAGCTATAAGTTATTACATTAATATGCTTCTATAAAACTAATTTTACACGTTGTCACATCAGTGTATTTGCTTATAACATTGACACCATGGATTATCAAGGGGTTCCCTTTCTCATTCTTTGGAAGGGATAATTATTAGCCACAATCTTTCCCTCTCAACTGTTTCACTACATGGAATATTTGGCCAATTATTAAATTCTAGAGAAATACTCCCCTCCTAAGAAAGTAAAAAAACTAAGATAGTTATCAATAAATTTCAGCAAGAGGGTGATTAGTCACTGTCTTGAGCATGAGATAGATACAAAAATTTGTTAAGGAAGTTCCTAAGTCATGGACTTGATAAGGTGGACTAGATTTGTACTTTTTTGGATGGATTTCTATATGACACAAAACTTATTTTGGATTCCTTAGCTAGGGGCAACATTAGTTATAAGACACCAAAGGAAACAATCGTCATCATAGAAAACATTGCCAGCAACCATATGGATCATAGAGGTTAAGATTTGCACCATGGAAGGGAGTGTACGAGTTTGTTGCTAATACAAAACCCAATCCTAAAAAGAACTATAATGTTATTTTTACACAGAGTGTAAAAGAGGGTGATGTGGAGATTGGCGAGAAGAGCAAGGAGAAAGAAAAAATAAATAAATTTGAAAAAAAGAATAGAAGAAAAATAATAAGTGGTAGATGAGGAAGATGGAGAGAAAAAGATGAAGCATCAAGTGGTGAGAGAAAAGAGAATAATAAATGTACAACAACCCTTGGTGAAAGAATTATCATACCCTTTTGTACCCACAAAGAAGAGTAGATAATGGCAATATTCTAAGTTCTTAGATATCTTCAAGCAACTTCAAATGAATACCATTTTCATAAGCTTTGGAGAGAGCAAATGCATATCTACACTAAGTTTATGAATGAGTAGCTCACAAAGAAGAAGAAATTCATAAAAGAGGATTTCATTCGAGTTAACGATAAGTTGTAGTGCCATCGTTCAGAAAGGCTTACCTCCAAAGCTTAAGGATCCTAGAAGCTTCACCGTTCCTATCAATATAGAAATCTGATGGTGAAGAAAGATATTTTTGATTTATGGGAAAGTATCAATATGATACCCCTATCCATGCTCTCTAAGATTGGAGAGGTGAAGGTGAAGCCAATGCAAAAGACCTGGCAACCTGGTGATAGGTCCTTACAATGTGGTGTAACACCTTCTACCCCACATACTAACATAAATGTATAAAATAATGAGTAAAAAAGTGTTCAAAAATAAACTTTACAAATGAATAAATGTTCACAAACCCCCTTGGATAGAGGTATTACATAGTAACACGTCACCAAAAGAACTAAGACAACTATTCAATATAGTAATTACAAAACAAAATCTAACATGAAGTCTTAAAAATAAAGAAACTAACAAAATGGAATCCTAACTAAACCTTGATGTCACATCTTATCAAAACACAACACTCAGTACAATCCATAAGCCTTATCTCCAACCTAATCATCCACTTGATGATCCTCACCTATTACACATACACAAGAGCACCAACAAAAGAAAAAAAAAAGTGGAAAACATCTCACTCTAACTCATAGTGTAGAACATAGTTGGATAACTACACACACAGTATCAAGAAATAATAATAACATATATATATATATATCAATGACAAAATAGTGCAACAAGACCAATCACAGTTCACAACAACATTCATACACTTAATGCAATGGACAAAGACTATAATGTTTATATGCATATGGCGTTAATTAAATATATCAATTTGTCAATTTGTAAATTTGCATGAGCCTCACATGATCCACACACAATGATTTTCCAATATGTATATGATGCATTCCACACGAAACTCAACATGTTATCATGGTGCATATTTACAATTTTCCAATTTTCCATCACATAATCCTTACAGGATCCACACAAAATGATTTGCCAATACCAATACCATTTCACATCATTTACGACAACCATACCTCACAATATCATAAACACATACATTGTACATATATCATTCCTTGGACAACATAACCAACACACACCTAAAACATTGTATCACACAAGAGTCACATGTTCATAATTCAAATAGACAATGTTCACAATATCTCTTGATAACACCTTAAGATAGAATCATTTTGCAATCATCTAATCATATATTAACACCTCAACCATAGTCATTATGAGACCAACATCAAATTAAACATTTACATTAATAAGTTAACTAATCTAACAACTTAATTGATATCACACATTAATTCCTTAGACATTGTTATTAACAAAACAATTCAAGTCATTAGCAATCAACTTGTATTATAACTTGTTCACAATTATTCTTTCTCATGATTTCTTTTTCCTAAACATTGATATAGGCATCTCAAACCATTCATAAAATCAAACATTTAAAGGGTAAAGTCATTCATCATCACCATTCACAAAATGCATTTCCATAATTAAATCTTCTAGGACCTAGTGTGATCCAAACACAATATCTAGAACTATATACATAATATCAAGTTGATCATTAAAAATCTAAGACCATTATCTACAACTTATATGTTGGACTCAAGAGTTATTTGTACCATTTACTATTTTTCAAAATTACAAACTGCAATGTTTCAACCTGAATGTAACAATTTGACCTTTGTTCACTAATTTGATCATAACTTGAATTTTAGACCTCCTTTTTGAGTGATTTCAATGCCATTGGAAATCTAACATCCAAAACTACAATTCATATGAAGATTACAAAACCTAATTCTAAAGTTATCATGCTTAGCACAAAATTTTTTGCAACCGATACAGAGAGGATAAAATCTCTTTGTTGCACCTACGCCTGACGTGACTAATGCCATGCCCAACGTGAAACCTTGTAGGAACAACATCAAATG